TACATTGTCAAGGTCACTTTTTAGGGGATTTGGAGACATTGGTATAATATTCTTGAAATTTATTTGTTTTGTTGACATCATATGTGGTTAGCCTGTCTGTCTGTCTACATGTCAATGTTTAATATATTTATTTATGTATGTGTCTGTCTTTACGACTGATATTTCAAGATCATTAAGAATAATGCACCGAGCTGAGTTGTTTTCAATAAACTAAATAAATAAATTAATAAATCTTAGCTTTTTCATAGTTATATTTAGAACTCCTTGATACATAGGTGCCTTGGAATAAACCACAGACCTGACTGGTTCGTTATTAAATTTTGTGCATATTAAATATCTAATTTGTATAATAATTAGTCATCTGTATGATTGTTCATTGTTATCTCAAGAACCACTTACCCTAACCTCATCTGTGTGTATTAATACCTATTTTCTATCATAATCACCTAATATTTAGCAGGTCTAGAATTACTTTATGGATTTCAATCAAACTTGGTAATATTAGGTGATGTGTGATAATCAATGCACGTAATTAGTTTGGGGGGAAATCTGCATAATTCGGGAAACATTCAACAAAGTACACATCGTTCATTGAATCATTCACAAAACGTTGTAGTTATACCGTTGCAATGAACATTTACTCAATAGATGTGTGTAATCACTGTTAAACTATTAAATGTATCTTCCTGTCACCATCTAGGTAATCAAAAAAGGACAGAACAAAGCCAGAGAGTTTGAAGACGCTACCGATAGACTTAAGATCTTCAGAAAATTAGCAAACATTAAAAAACTATCAGATCTGCAATCAAGTCTTCAGAAACTTCAAGAACAACTCAAGATCTAAGAAAAATCTGAGATTTTTACATATACCATATATTATATTATGTATTCGAAATAAAAAACCATAATTGTGTAAGTAATGTTTGTCATATTAGATTAGATTAGATTTGTACTGAAGGTGTTTGCAGCTAATTTGCTGTTTGAGAATGGAATTTTGCCTCTGATACCCTTAACCATATGTTTTTAGATAAAACCACATCTTCTTGAGTGACATGAAATTGTTAGAATGTTAGAATGTGTATTATCTTGATGTTCAAAGGAGCAAATTTTTTTGTGACTTCTAAATTTTGTCTATTCTTTAATAAACAATTTTAAGAAAATATTAAATGTAGTTTTGATTAGTCGCTGTTCTACACAGGGATCCTGTGTATGTGTGCGTCTGTCTGTCTTTGTGTGTACCTCTGCATCTAAAGTGTGGACTTCACACAAAGTGGGTTACTGATATAATATAATAATAATATACATCAGTATCAGCACTCCTGTATTCCCATTTTAGAGGTTAAAAACCACAGACAAGGGTATTTGATTTGGAAGTCAATATAATACCTTTTTAGCATATTTGGCGGCAGATAACAGAGCATAAGCAAGATTACCATTTGTACCAATATCTGGTAATTCAGTCATGATACCACTTTGCTGTCTGATGAACACAATGGGAATTTTTTTCTTTTGTATGGGTGATATGTAAAACACCACACCAGATATATTAAAGTTTGAAATGGAAACTACCCTGACTTGCCCATATTCTAATATTAAATACATGTATACTGTGTTGCCCCCCCCCCCCAAAAAAAAACACTTGAATTTCTGAACAAAAACACCACTGATTCTAGTTTTATAATTACCTCAAGTTAACCTGGATTCTATGATAGATTTGAATCCACGGAAATATCAGATATGCTTACAAGTGTTTTGCCATTAAAGTAATTTGTATTTTCACCACTAGATTGTTCAGTGTTACCCATTGTTGAGGTATGCAACATCACTGTTCTGTTTTGGACAGTGTCCAATAATGCTGCTCTTGAACTGCAGTCATTTCTTTCCAATTGATACATGTATTGATCCTGTCTAAAGAGGTCTGCCATAGCTATGGGCTCTCACATATACTGTAAAATCTGTATTAGAAGCCGCGGCTTCTATTAAAATGGTAGAATGCAACAGAGGGGATGCGGCTTCTATTAGAGCATCTATACATATGAGAAATGATGAATTTTTGGTTCTCAATTATTCAAATAGAATGGATGCGACTTCTATTAGGGATGCGGCTTCTAATACAGATTTTACGGTAATACATGCCCCACCCCACCCCGTCCCATCCCTAACCCATCTATGATCGTGGCAGTCTTGATAGACCTATGGCAAGCCCTTGGCCCACGAAGAGAGTCAACAATATTGCTTTGTTGAGCATTGCATGCATTGTGTATTGATTTGTTCTCTCTTGTAAAAGATAGCAATGCAAAGCAAGACCTCAGATACATGAAAATGGAACAGTCCACTACATTCAACTACATTGGTTAGAACAAATGCTGTGCTAGGAGTGGATGGAATTTACCTATAGTACTTAGTACACGCATTGACATTAAAAGCATGATGTTTCACTGTTGGAATAGCAAATCATCAATATACGAGTAAGCATTTGTATGCATCTCAATTTGGTGCAATGCAGTCTAGTATTCGTAGAACCATATCAGTAGTTGACAACCAAATGGTAGGAGTATGAACATGAAAATAAATAAAATGAAAGAATACATACTAGTTATGTAAATCTGTTGTGAAATACTAGATAATTGGATGAATAGATTGATGTGTCTGAATGTACAGTACCACATTTCTGCAAGTGTTGTCTCTCTCCAGAAATGCCCAACCAAGTGACCCAATCTCTCTTCACAAAACATTGTGCTCCTTTTCCTCTTTCAAAATGTATTTAGTTACATACCTCTAGATTCCTTTTGGACACTTAACTTGATTCTTATGTTAAGGCTCCAGGCAAACCATATTTCACATTCTTTTGTCTGATTTGTTGACCTGAATGTTAGTCATAACTTAACAAATATAAATAATGGCAGTAACAGTGCAGGTATACAAATTGTTAGTAAAAATCTACCTTATCACACCTTTCCATTCGCTTCTTTAGGAACTACTGTAATATTCAATAAAGCATACTAAATTATATTAAATAATAAAAAGACAGGAGAAGCAAGACCTTGTAAAAAAGCAAATCTTGGAGACTTCTGGTTATCAAACAGAGTGACTGAGTGAAACTTTAAGTGGCTATATAATTAATATGGCTATCCCAACTCAATTAGTGACACCACAATACTGGTAATTATTTACGTCACCAAGTAAGTAATGCGTAGGTGCAATAATTGTTAATATTATTGTGATATGCGTGATTTTCGTTTCATAAATGTCATATAATTACTCAATCTCCCAGGCTGAGTTCTATTTCTACGAATATATACTTTCTGTGATTTAACCGCAAGGAACTCTGGGAAGGAGAATGATAATTTTTGTCACGTCAATCACACAGATGTCCTGTAAAATGTTATCATTATTGTTATAATGACTTGCTATAAATAATGTCATCCGCAAATATAGAACGAAACGATCGATTACTAACTGCTAAATCATATATGAACAAAATTGGTCAGAGTATTCTTCCCTGGGGAACACCAGATGTAACTTGTAACCACAAAGAATAGGCCTCACGTTTATAAATCCCAAAACACTACATCAAATATGAGTGTAAGAATTCTGTCAAAAATTGGTGCCATGTGATGAACAATGTTTGATAACTGAGTAAAACAGAAATTTCGATTTGCGAACCTGTGTTGCTATGGAGAAAGTAATATATTGTCACCTAGATGTCCCCTTATTTCTCTGACAACTTTTGTCTATGACTTTACATATCACGCAACGTAACTCGTGGATACTTCGTGGAAGGGCGCTTTCACCAAGAGCGGTGCGCAAAAGTCGCCACGTTAGTAAAATAATAGCTACAAATGCTTGCAAACATCGACGAGAAATATTGTCAGGTCCAGCTGACTCAATAATTGATTAAGAACTATTAGCAATAAAAACAAAAGAAATGAAATGAATGTCTACTAATCGTGGGATAGGTAAAGTGTATGTTGGTGCAGCACATCGAATAACAACAGATGAATTAACAATTGATTATATGTAATAAAAATTTAACAAAGAATTGGTAATGCATTGTTCTGTTTATTGTTAAACTGGGCAACTTATTAAACCGACATTCTTGGGAAAATTTACCCACAAATCACATAATCTGAAAAGTTAGAGTTTTAATGTGACTTTTCATGGAACGGAAGTTAATGCACCCAGTGTGGACATTCCTAGTAACGATCAGCATTTGTTGAAATGTAGTCTTTTGAAATCAACACAAATACCCATCTTTCATGAGTGCTATTATCTATTGGGATAAACCATCGAATAACACTGTAAATGTAAACCATAAATGACAGACTTTCACGTGCTGTGTAAAATTAAGGCTTATCTTCATTTGCGTAATGTTAGTCGTACATTCTTTTAATTTGCATATTAGTTTCAAGCTTTGAGCAATTTTCATTTAGTTATTATTTGATAGTTTTAAAACACTCGTTTTTTTTATTTTAAATGAAAGCACCAAGTTCTAGCAACCAGAATATTTCTGATTTATATTTATGAATCTGTTTTAGTAGTTTTGAATGGAAGTTGCTATAGTCACAACATTTGACATCTTTAACCGACAGAGGTGTCAAATTACACATGTACATTGATACAAATTATTCAATATGCGTAATAATAATTTGAATGAATCAGGAAGATTAAATGTTGTTCACGTTATTCAAGTATTCTGTCCTGCCGTGATGATCAGCTTTGAAAGGATAGACTAGTTTATATCAGAATATGCGTGTTTTCATCGCATTTGTGATAAAACCCAACGTAACATACCCCAACTAGAAATATATTAGAATCCTATTAAAAATAAAGTAAAGCAATTCGTTTTTTAATTTTATAAAATGAAATTTAGTCTGATTTATATATTTCTAATTTGCATAATAATGTTACAATGCAATCTGACATTCATGGGAACGACAAACACCCAAACATGTTGTATGAGCACGCACATACGCAGACGCGCATACACGTCTTACCATTGTTGTAACAATACACATTGGATTCACTTTTAATATAGTTGTGATATGAACTCGATTAAAACATAGAATTGCCTTTGAATTCAAGTTTAATTAAATAACAGTTGAATATATTGTGACTTATCATAGAAATGTTTGCGAAGCTTAGGTTTATTAGTAAAGGGGTAGGTATGGTACAATTATATTAGTATTAATATACATTGTACCATACCTTCTCCCTTTACTAAACGTAAGCTACGCAAACTTGACTTAAATTGGATTAAATATTGATATAAATTATAAAATAGAGAGGGTCGTCACTTTGTAGACTTTGTACAAATTTGTTAACTTGGCCAAGGGCAACATAATTGAGGAGACGGTTTAGCTGTCATCAGATGAAAGAGTTTAGTTTAATCAATATAACAGAAATAGTTTGAATCATAATTCGGGACAACAATTGTATTATTATTATTATACCGAATGAGAACTCTCTATGTTATTACAGCAGTCTCTAATGAGTGGAATAATTAGGGTTTAAGTCAGTTTGCATCCCTTTTTTGTTCAGGTTTGTCTTACTTTCTTTCTCCGTTTTTTCGTCAAGCCATCTTGAGAAAACTATACTGAACGAAATGGTCCGAAAAGCTTCAACGACCACATGACCGTTTTCTAAACAAGCTTTATAATCTTATTAAAAACCGCTGAACAGATTGACACAAAAGTTGCATATTGCACGTTTGTACGTTTGACAATTTGCTTGGGGCTGGTAACGTGGTTAACCGTTTGTTAGTCATATTAGCTTTCTTAACATGAAATAGATTAATCTTGATGCCTCAGTTATCCGATTTCTTCGAAATTTGTCATGTTGCATCTTTCAACTGAACTCCTGGCAGACAGTCAAAAAAATAAGTTGCCTAACGTTATTTCGACGCCATCTTTGCCAAAGGTTTACGAGGAAAATCATTCACATGGTTCTTAGATTACTACAATTAGGGCATTTGTTTCTCATGAATGCTTTAACCGATTAACTTGAGTTCTGCATGTAGCATGTATGGCTTAAACTTATTTCCTGCATATCAGTAAGTACATATTATGATGACATATTCAGCTTTCAACCTTGTTATTTGTTCTGAGCTACTGGTGAAAAAAATGAAAACTACGACACGAATGTAATGAACCTGATATTGTAAGGTAACGTTGTACGTATATCAAATATACGCTGCTTTATTTCACGCATGTGTTTTAGCTGGCATCTAAAACTACCAGTAATATTCAAATTAATTCCTGTAATAGATGGTGAATATATTAGCATATTTGGCACACATCGTGGCGTGTGACTGCATTCGATAATGTGCTCTAAAATAAATGAAAAATTAAATAACATCATAAGCAATTGATATTCAAATTATTTCATGTAATTCCAAAATGAATTTAGAGTAGAGGATAAACACGTAGCACACAGTCCATATGTACGTTAGAAGTACGTGACAATATATATTTTTTACATTCATTTTGTTTTCATTCAAATGATGCCGCTCTCAGTGACAACCATAATAAGACGATTTTAAATTTTTTTTTTTTCATGATTGTGATTACCTTTGGGTAATACAGATTTGAACACTGCTTTGGGTTTTTAAAGATTAAGTCCAACACCGCTGTTCCTTGCCATTGATCAACTGTCATCTTCGCCAAATAATTTGGAGTATGTGTTACGTCATAAATCATGTTTTAATCACATAACATAGAAAAAAACAGGGTGTCGTATTTATTATTTATATTCCTGGTTAATTACTGGTGTTATCACAGTTAGTACTAAAGCGGCGTGACTAACAATTGGCTAATAATCTGTAACAGAAATAATCGCATGGGTAACAGATGCACGTTTTTGAATAGACGCATAATTAGACAATATCACTGATTTCATTAGAAACGTGCCCAAACTGACGTGTTACTCTCACTGTATCTATCTTTTTTGGGTGGACATTCGGTGAAAAATACTTGATTGTGATATTTTGTCAGGTAAGGAGTCTATATTATAACATTGCTATGTGAATCACTCTAGTCTATCTTTCACACTTTGAACACCACCATTTCGTGATACTTTTTGCGAATAGTTTTTAGAAAACGTCACAGAGCTAAATGTTTGAAATCAAAATTTAAAAAAAATATCATAAAATAAACTCGTCAAAATCGGGAAAATATTGGTGTATATAATTAGTAAATAGAGAAATTTTGGGTAATACAGATTTGAACACTGCTTTGGGTTTTTAAAGATTAAGTCCAACACCGCTGTTCCTTGCCATTGATCAACTGTCATCTTCGCCAAATAATTTGGAGTATGTGTTACGTCATAAATCATGTTTTAATCACATAACATAAAAAAAAACAGGGTGTCGTATTTATTATTTATATTCCTGGTTAATTACTGGTGTTATCACAGTTAGTACTAAAGCGGCGTGACTAACAATTGGCTAATAATCTGTAACAGAAATAATCGCATGGGTAACAGATGCACGTTTTTGAATAGACGCATAATTAGACAATATCACTGATTTCATTAGAAACGTGCCCAAACTGACGTGTTACTCTCACTGTATCTATCTTTTTTGGGTGGACATTCGGTGAAAAATACTTGATTGTGATATTTTGTCAGGTAAGGAGTCTATATTATAACATTGCTATGTGAATCACTCTAGTCTATCTTTCACACTTTGAACACCACCATTTCGTGATACTTTTTGCGAATAGTTTTTAGAAAACGTCACAGAGCTAAATGTTTGAAATCAAAATTTTAAAAAAATATCATAAAATAAACTCGTCAAAATCGGGAAAATATTAGTGTATATAATTAGTAAATAGAGAAATATTGTTGGAAAAATAAATTAGACGCAGGGTGATGTCTAAATATGTGACATGGTCGCAAGGGTTGACAAACATGTATTGCAATTAAAGCCATCTCATCATTGCTGCACTGTTTGGTTTATAAATTATAGGATTATGTGCTGTAATGAATTCATAATGATGTCAACTGTATTTATATCAGTCAAATTACACAAGGCATATATATATTTGATAAATGCCTAACGTGTTTTGAGATCACCAGACCATTAATACAATACAATTATATTATCATGCCCATTCTTATCATGTAGTTTTGTTTACTACCTTGTAACGACTGATGTGATGATAAAATCATTAATTGACACAATAAATCATCTGTGATAAACTCACTGCACAACACAATAAAATAATATTGCATATTACTAGTAAATTTATGTTTTGTTTGGGTCTATTTTTTGTTTTGTTTTGGGTATAATGTCGGATCATATTGACAACATATTTTTAATTTTTTATATAATATTTTATCGTAGCATCAATTAACCAGGCCGAGTCAAACAGAAGCACCTGCTGTTTCCCGTGAGTCGCATTCGTTAGTGAATGAAAAGAGCACAAGCACGACAGCTTCAATTGTTTAAAGGTGACAGTCAATGAGAAAAGCTAGAATTATGTTCCCATTTCCAATAACCTCATTCACTAAAAATATTGATCAGTGATTCAAATGGCACATACTGGCAGTATCACAATTTTAAAAACTTCACAAATTTTACTATGGTTGAAATAACGTCATTATCTTTATAATACAATTGTTTGTTTCCAATTTGTAATATTTCATTCAAATATCTATCTGTCGATTTTATGCTTTACTGAATGACCTATAAACACGCTATTTGGCGAATTGATCCTTAAATGTGTATACAACACAGATTTTAATTCACAAAAACACAGAATTCATATTTGGGGCGCTTTTATATACAAACGTGACATGATCAGACTGGGCATGAATAGATAGATGGTGACGTCATTATTCTGCCAACAAATAATAGGAATATACAGTACTTGCCGATGCTGGTATAACTGGAGGAAATAATTGAATAACGGGTTCAACAAACACATACATGTCGTACTGTAATAGGGTTTCTTTTACTGACAAACTTAAAGCTAAACCGGAGAATACAGTTCAATTTTTACCCTATAAATTAACCAAAAATCGGCTGTTCCGCATATTGGGAACCAGTGCCAGTCTCATCGTTCACTCTCTCTTCCTTGTCAGCTTATCGTCGCCTTTATGGGCCTGCTGTCATTGTAAACATGGTTACGTCACCGTAACGTGGTCGAATTTGCATATCATTTTGAAATTTGTTGTCATCTTAATCACAAACCATGACCAGTTTGTTTAATATAAGTCTAGATCAAAGGAGAATGATAAAATCGTAACTATATTGCTAGTCTGGAGTATGTGCCAACTAAACTACAACTGTTGACTTTTACATACAGCCAGAATTTTCTCAGAATATTATAAAGTTTACAGGAATCCATATGAAATCTAACAGGAATTTTGCAACATTATGACAAATTTACTATTTTCTGATCACATATTGACCATAGATTACTATAATTTGACCGTGACCTTATGCATTCATGGTATTACATGCTCAATTGTGGCCATTGTTCATGGTGAAATCATAATCGAACATGGTCATTGACCTTGTTTGACCATACTACAAACTCCTTATATTATTATATTAGAGTCAACACAAAAGCAGGGTAGGAATGGGAGTTTATAGCTATTTTTTTTCACTGTGGTGGAAATCAACCAAATTCTATATCAAAATTTAACTCTGTCTATAATACCAGAACACTCGGCTCCTGCACTGTAACTCGTAGACTTAAGTAAGAAGGTTGAAGCCCGGTCTGTCATATGAGATATGAAACAAATGATAATTAGGGTCAGATTTGAAGGCTAAATATGTCTTAATATATACCCAATGATATATATAATTTGGTCATTAATACTACATGCAAAATAACAAGTCGATCTGTTAAAGCAGTCATGAAAAACAAATGCCGGAAATTGTGAAAATCAATATGGCGACCAAAAATGTGACTGATCAAAATTACTTTGTTTTTCTCGCCGGAAGTTATGGTCATACATGCTACACGGCAATTATTCCAGTTGACAGTTAATTCACTTCTGAGAAACAAATCCTCAAATTTCTGCCATTTTTGGCGAAAATCCAAAATGGCGGCAAAACCACGAAGTCCTAATTATTTATTTGCTGTCAGAAAAGGTTTGGCATAAAGATAAGGAGTACAACATGGCAAATTTAAAAATAGTCAGATGATTGTTGCATCTGTTAAAAACTACTCTCTGTTTAAAAGAAATCAAAAATGACACCCAAACCACGAGACAATGAACTTCGCAAACTCTAATGACCATTATACATATGTATGCTACAAAAAACTTCCGATCAATGTGTTCAGTTTCTGAAAAAGATTTTTAAGTAATTTTGCTAATTTTCGGTTAAAAATCTGAAAGAAAAAGTCACGTGACTGCTAACATTTTTCATGAAATAGGGGAAATATAAGAGTTACACAATAATGATAATATAATGTCGTAACAATGAAATGATTATTGAATAATTTTGAAACAACAAGTATTGTATCATGAACATGAAATTAAGTCAATATTGTGTTTTTGGCGCCAACCTATGAAATTACCATGTTAGCTGCTGGTAATGTGGTTGCTAATAAACGTTTTATAATTAAAACTAGTTTATATATAAACAGAAATTGTTGCACTATTGTAAACATACCACAGTGCTTACCGGGGAAACAATCATAATGTTATTAGTTTACACTCACTGTAACCATCATTGATGCCTATACCGAGTGGTCATTTCGCCCCGCTCAGGTGTTACCGGTAGTTAATAGCCTGCATGCCCATAGCCAGGAATTTGCTTTGGGTGGGGATATGGGTCTTTTTGCTCTCTGAAGGACCTATGGCAAAGTGGGCAGTTGTTCTAAGACTTCCAGTTCCGCTGTAGATACAAATTAGTTTGCCTTTTAAAAAGTAAAAATGTGCATTGAAAACGGACTTTTGAGCGCGCGCGTCCGAACGCAGGTTTGGCAGGTTGTCAAACCATATTGTGGACATGTTTCTAGAGTAGTAGTGCCTGTATAAATCAAATGTGAATATTGAAGAATTCTTGAGAACTTTTCTTAAAAATTGAGATTTTAAATGTGACTTCAATTAACACATGTTCACCGTATTTACTAATACTATTTCACGTGACACATTAAGTTATGCATTAGGAACTTTACCTAATAAGCTAAGTTGTCAATAAAACGAGTCAAATACAAATATATAGTGGATACGATTATACCTACTTTATTATGAACAAGATTGTTTTCGTATTATTTGATACAAAGTATCGGTATTCCAATAAGAACAATGCGTGCTCCCATTGCTCGCTGATTTGTTTTGTTTTGTTCATATGAAGCCCAATTTCGACAGAAATAATTACAAATCTTTTAATTTCATTTTCAGATGAAATATATTTTCCATTCACAGTCCTAAATTGAGTTATATTTCAATGATATTTCCAGTTGACATTTATATTTAATATTTGTCGTCTGCTTCGTACAACATGGCTAGCTTTAACATTCAAAATATGTTTGCACATGTACAGATATCATGGTGGTTAAGCAAAAAAACACTGTTACAAGTATGACCATTCATATGACATCAATGTCATTTGCCAGATTTAGACCTCATATTTTATACAGACCATTAGACTATGACTAAGAATGATACATGATGAGTGCCACATTTTCTGTCACCATTTACTGTTTTGTTACCATGGTTTTTAAAATCGGTGAACAGTAGAAGTGGCGTCGTTCAGGGAAAAAATGGAGTCTTGCGGCTCCCCAGTTTTCATGAAGTTCTCTGCGGCCATTACAAATACGGTAGTATTAGCAGAGGCATGATAAATATTCAGTTTATGTCGCCTGCCACAAACTATTTAAATTTAGCAGAATTTGTAGCCGCATATATTTTGCAGCCACTCATAAGTATGTTATGATATTATATTATATTGTATTTTATTATTCAGATATTACAATTATGATATATATGAAAAAACTATGAAAACCACAAAATTGAACGTGTGCTATTGTTGTATTGCTGTTTTTATCACATGCCTCTATTTGCTGTTGGAGCGACGTCATTCATTCTTCAAAAGTTCAGTATTTGACATCATCGACAATCACTATGCTTCTAAGGACACATCACGCAGACAGCAATCGGCCAAACCTATGTCATCAGTAACATTACCAAATATACATCTACCAGTGATATTAGGTAAGGTAAATAAATATTATTATAACACTTTCGGTCATGTTATTAATTTTTTTTAGCGATTGGTTCATTTTTGTAAATTCAAACATATTTAGGCATACATAGGCAAAGTGTAATTGCTACAGATAACTGTGTCAAGGGGCAACGTCTTTGTCAATTATTGAAAAAGATGGCCAATCAAAGCCGCGACCTTACTAGGGGGTCCGGGGCATAGACCCTCTAAACGCTATTTTGAGAGACAAATTTTGCTGACACAAAAGAATTCAGCTTGATTTTGAAGGGGCGAGGCAACCAACATTTTTTTCGAGAAGGCGACCGCTCCCTCTGTTATTGTTTTCTTCAGTGTATAAATCGTTAATCAGATCTCGTTGTAGTGAGTTAACGATTCGGTCTCGGTGATTAACTATTATACTAGTATTTAAAAAAATAAATATTATCATTCAATCATCTTTTAAAAAATGCATAATATAATACTCCAACAATAACTACATGTTTACGAAGCACTAACATCAATAAAGTTTAAAACAATTGTAATAACAAAATTGTAAATGTTATTCGAAGTCGACAATTCATCGTATATTTGCTATATGATTCGTTATGATCGGGGTAGCCCAGCAAATTTGGTATATTTACCTCATAAGTGAGATTCACTAAAGAACCCGTACAAAGTTTTCATACCAGTGAAAATGACGAACCTAAATATGTGATACATGATGAGTGTATAGCGATAGGGAACAATAGTGATGGAAAATGTGAGCTTGCCACTGTTGATCCTAGTGATGTTGAAAATGTAGTTCCTAAATCTCAGGATGTTTGTCCAGATGAACATGTTGATAGATACCCCCCCCCCAAGAAAGATAGGATCCGCCCTGAATTTTTAGGTGATCACTTAGTAGATGATGAGATATATAGTTTGATAGAATTATTTTGTGCTTCGTTGTGATAAGTCTGATGATTGGCGAAAGGTTATGAAAATTGAAATGAGTGCACTGAGTGAGAATGCTACTTTTGAGTTGACCACACTGCCACAAGGCAGAGAGGCAGTGGGAGGCCGCTGGGTGTATGCTGTTAAATTGGATCAAAATAATAAAGAACAGTATAAGGCTAGGTTTGTGGCTAAGGGTTATTCCCAGAAACCCAATATAAATTACCAGGAAACATTCTCTCTGACCGTCCGTATTACATCCAATAGAGCGGTTACCGTAATGCATTTAGCTGTTCAAAACGATTTGGCTGTACATCAAATGGATGTGAAAGCAGCGTATTTGAATGTTCCTATATATTATGAAATATATGTGGAGCAACCAGAAGGTTTTGAAGTGGAGAAAAATTCAAAAAAACATATTCATAAGATACCATTTTATACGAGGTGAAGTTCAGAAAGACCAAGTATGTACCTTCTGATCAAAATATTGCAAATGCACTCACAAAGACTGTGCCTAGAAATAAAAATAAGAATTCCCATACAGCGTTACGATAACATTGAAATTAAGCATATATACATTTACATATATACATATTTTATAGGTAAAGACAATCAGACTTCAAAACAAACATCCAGAAAACCCACACTACATAGACAAGTGTCACTCACAACTGAAACATACATAAATGTTGAAAACGTATCATTAGACAACTCAACACTGAAGCAAGGTAAGATTCATATCAGGAAATTAAATAACTAAAATAAAACTATAATGTTAACATCTGTTCCAGTATCATTAATGGACATCAAATACAAAATATCAGCCTTCAGACACATACAACACAATTAATGTGCTCAATTTATATAAATTCAATATGAATAAAATGTGAATTATGTGGTCAATTTATGTGGATTCAATGTAAATTATGTGGTCAATTTATGTGAATTATTTGGTCAATTTATATGAATTCTATGTAAATTATGTGGTCAATTCATGTGATTCAATGAAAATTATTTGGTCAATTTATGTGGATTCAATGTGAATTCAATGTGGCCAATTTATGTGAATTCAATGTAAAATGTGTGGTCAATTTATGTGGATTCGATGTGAGTTCAATATGAATTATGTGATCAATTTATGTGAATTCAATGCAAATTATGTGGTCAATTTATGTCGATTCAGTGTGAAATCAATGAGAATTATGTTGTCAATTTACGTAAATTCAATGTGAAATATGTGGTCAATTTATGCGAATTCAATGTGAATTGAATGTGGATTATGTGCTCAATTTATGTGAATTAAGTGGTCAATTTATGCGAATTAAGTGGTCAATTTATGTGAATTCAAAGTGAATTGAATGTGGATTATGTGTTCAATTTATGTGAATTCAATGTAAATTATATGGTCAATTTATTTGGATTCAATGTGCAGTATGTGGTCAATTTATGTGAATTGCGTGTCAAATATTTGGTCAATTTATGTGAATTCAATGTGAATTAAGTGGTAAATTTACGTAAATTCTATGTAAATTATGTAGTCAATTTATGTGTCAGTGTGAAATCAATGTGAGTTATGTTGTCAATTTACGTAAATTCAATGTGTATTAAGTGGTCAATTTGTGTAAATTCAATGTGAATTGAATGTGAATTGTGTGGTCAATTTATGTGAATTATTTGGTCAATTTATGTGGATTCCAATGTGAATTCAATGTTGTCAATTTATTTTGTATTTTGATGTGTTCCTATTTCGTTTTAATGCATTCCGAAAGCAACATTCAACCAGTACATCAAAATAGCTGTGATACAAATCAATACATATTAATGTTCGCCGACTCTCAGAATACAACTGAGACCATATTTAAATGGTTATGTACACAATAGTCATTTACATGTGACTTACAGGTCAATACAATATTGTCAATGTCTTCTTGATGAATGACAGTCTTCTGAATCATGATACCATTAGTTTTTGATTCCGATACATCGGTAATACAACATTAAAATTAAGCATATATACATATGCATTATAGGTAAAGACAATCAAACTTCAATACATACATCCAGTAAACCCACACCACATAGACAGGTGTCAGTCACAGCTGAAACACACAGAAATGGTAAAAACGTATCATTGGACAACTCAACACTGAAGCAAGGTAAGGTTCATATCAAGAAATTAAATAACTAAAGTAAAACTATAATGTTAACATCTGTTCCAGTATCATTAATGGACATCAAATACAAAATGTCAGCCTTCAGACACATAGTAAAGTGTTTATCAATATATTTTTTTAAATTATTAACAAATATGATTAATGTCAGTGAAGTTTAAAACGAAGGTTGTCTTGTTTTTAATTTACAAAGTGTACTAACCATGTAACGTATTGCAGTAAAATAAAATGAAATTAGATGGTAGGAATCGCCACGAATCACGTAATGAATAATATACCAGTCCAAGTACAGTGTAGTAGCAGTTTACTTCAATGTGAATTATGTGGTCAATTTATGTGAATTATGTGGTCAATTTATGTGAATTATGTGGTCATTTTATGTGAATTATGTGGTCAAGTTAATGTTACACAAGTTATTTGGTTCTTCATAGATAACATTAATTGTGAGCTTCGATTCTCCAATAAGACATTTCCAATTGTTGCCTTAGCAAGTCCACCAGGTTCTGGCAACACATGGGTTCGTCATCTATTACAACAATCTACTGGTATATATACAGGGTCAGTATTTACAGATGGTAAACTTTATAGAGCAGGTAGGTTGGTAGAATATATCAATATTACATTTCTAGACTCGTACTGAGGAATAATTCATCTTTCGAAAATTGCGCCACTGCAAAACTATTATCTTGTACGTGTACG